GAAATTCTTTGCTCGGTACTTTGTCGAACTTACGACTATTGCTATATCTTGTTTCATGACCTCGCTTATCCATGCTTATGGCTTTACTACATCTAAGTAGGTCATACTATACCATAACACTTACTTTGATTTTTATTATTACCGAGGTTTGCTACCAACTCCAGGTTAATCTCTCGCTACTTATCCTATATGTATAAATTTAAGTCCTTTAATGCTTTCTTATTACTATTCGTCTAAAGAGTGACATCCTAATCTTCCCTGAAACTTTGGAACTTTGATCAATTTATTGTTGATTCACCTTCATGTTAATCTGTAATCTATCACTAATAACTTGAAACCTCTTACGTAATACATTGCCATTAGGGATCACGTCTCATCGGAGAAAATCTAAATTTATTTGCCTGATTCACCTAGGGACAATACTATACTTCAATAACCGTATTTTATAGAATCCCAATGTGATTCATCTTAATGGGTTATTTTAATTCCACGCATTTCATGAAATCCCTTCTCTATGAAGAATTACTCAATCGAAGGCCTTAATGTCATCCTATTATCATTGATCACAATTACACCCTTATTCTTATACTAGGGAAGTATTCTATCTCTTTTAAATTCTCTTAGTCTTAAACTCCTTCGAGTTCATTCAGGCTATACATAGCTTTCAATAACTTACAGAAACCATCAGTTCTCTTGTTTTGATGGGTTTAATCCCGAGGACTTACCTATTCTTATCACCTTCTCAGTCACCTTTTTGTATCTTTATTCATGTCTACCTAAAACCTTGTCGCTCTACTATACTTTAGCTTGCGACCTTCACATATGTATTTATACTACTCGCAAACTTTCTTTAACTTGCTAGCACCATAAATTTCCTTATGTTATTCTAGAGCCTCAAACCAGATATCACGTCGTCTTTAACTCTTCTTTACTCTTTTAATTAGAACTCTCGGTACATGGAAACAATAGGGTGGAAGATATGCTACCGAGGACACCAATATCATTTATGGATAATGAATCACACCGCTTCTAGCACTCTACATGAAGTATGGACTATTCACAACCTTCTGCATTTGAGTATCTCTTACCTTCTTCACTTTACCTTGCTTACCAATAAATCTCGCATCACATCTATGCCTCTTTCATAACCTACCTTCCATACATGTAGGATTCACATACAGCTTGAAGATCTACTATAATACTTGCACCTATGGTGCATACACATTCTGGCGGGAGCTTCATACTAACTTCTGATGAGGCTGGTACTCTTTTAAATGGCTTTATCATAGAGCCGCTATAGAATATGACTGTTGTACTATCTCTGTTGTCCATCTAATATTAACAGTGATTTTGAAATGTTCTAAATCACGATTTCTATAATTATCTGGATTTATTTTTTATTTTTGTAATACTTATACGTTACCTTTAACTACCCCAACTCTATCTGAATATTTCTCAAGCGTTACAATGTCATATTTGAGAGACTGAATTTCCTGTACTAAGTTTCACTACGTTTATCTTGCATGATCTGTTGTTTTATCTGAGACCTCTTGTCTAGCCATAACTAGGATCTTCCTGAATCAACTACTAACTTCTCATCAGTCCATGCTCATATTTATATTCTGCGTAATCTCTCTTGGGTTATATATTTTGCCTTAACTTACCTTTCGCATTGTCTTCTACTGTATTAAGTGCCCATTCACACATATTTATCAATAACATCCTGGCCGGGAACCCTTACTGCCTCTCCCTGGTATCGTGCTTCCATAGTGTTCTAGAATCGTATATCTGTATGATCTATATGATCTGAATAAATGCAATCTCATTCTTTTTGTATTTTACCGCATTCTTCCTTTACTATTCCATAGTTACATAAACCACTTAACTCTAACTTAATACCATATCACACCATCTTCCCCCTCCCCCCTTTAGGGGAATACTAATATTTAATGCTATAAACATTTACCTGCAAATATTTTACCTCTTAATCTTCAGCATCGTTTCACGTCTTCACTGACTCTTACTTGCCTTGCGGTAACCCTTCTCTACCAGGGATAACTAAATTTCTTACGCGCGAGGGTGACACCTAATGTAACTGGAATACTTAGTTCTTTAAGCATAACTGTGCCCACAGTGCCTGCTTTAGGGAAGCGTCTTCCTGGATGAACTTTAAAGGTTATTCTGTTGTACATTCTATTTTTGCCAAAACATTGTCTTGGAAACTCTCACGATATCGGCTATTATAAAATCCTCCGGTCCATAATTCATGTTCAATTTATCATGTTTACTAGCCTATAAAGATTTCTATTACTTCAGGAGGGGTGTCTAACTTAACATTCTGGTAATTACTTTGGAGTTGTCAACTCATTTTCTCGAAATAAGTATATGACTTCATGGCTTATACTCTTTATTGCTTCCAGGCCTGTCATCTCTTGTCTTTTCTTTCACTTGACCATAGACTGTGCCATCCTACCATATTTTGATTTACTGTTATCACCCATTTATCGTACCTTAGTCATAATGCTTCATTTACTCTCTTCTTATTCTCCCTCTAGTGTTTCTGTCTATCATATTATTCTGAAAACTTTAACAAAACATTGTTTCACTTTTATCTCCCCTAGCTCAACCCACCATTTCGGGTTGCTCAACCCAAGCTTGATCCTAATTTTTCATCCTTCTCTTAAACTATATATGTTAGCTCCATGGGGCATAATTGAGATGGGTGTGGCCAATTGTACATACCTCTATTTCTGTTGAAGGTAACTTATCCTTATATTTCTCTGCCTGAATTGGAAATTCGGATAATCTTCATTAACTGGGTACCTCGTACCCTTCTTTACCTTGCTTCTGGTACCTGTTGAAACTTTTACTTTTACCTTCTGATACTCCCATGGCCTGTTGTTCGCGGTGTATGTTAGATATTCCCGTCTTAGGGTCTTAAGTAGGAAGTTCGCACATATGGTATGCACGATCTAATAGGGTATAAAATAGGGCCACGTCGTCAAGAATTCTCTCTCTACTAATGGCCTTACCTGCTCCTGTATTAGCCCTCTAGCTAGCTATAATTTTTCTAATTGAAAGCATCTATATATCATTAGAAAACATAAGTCTTGGCTCGAACTCGAATATAAGATAAATTTGATATTTAATTGTCGTCGTCCTTTGAGAGAAAAATAATCCTTCACCACTATTTGTAACTAAAAATGTAGTATGGCGATAAGGGATGGACTCTACTCATTGCTATTTAGTTTGAACTGTATGTCATAAAATTGCCGCTATGTATATGTATATATTTATGTATGTTAAAACTTGTACTAATACTAAGTAAAAACGTACGGACATAAAACGCGTTTGTTTTGAAATTTTCCTTTAATTGGATGAAAGTGACTTCTCTAACAAGAGTATGAACAATATTTTTTTCCAGCACTTTCAACTTTCTCCACCCTAGCCCTACCACCCACCCACACCCCATCTCCCCACCAAACGCCACCCCAACCCTACCTCCAACAGCTTCCACCTTTGCCCTACCCTCGCCCTACCTTTGCCATCGCCACCCCCAGCTTCTAGACTCCGACCTATCATTCTTTCTCGTCGTTACTTATTTTATCTCCTATAATGATTGTTTAAATTATATACTTCTAAAAAATATTTTTTGTGACGCACGTAACTAAACACCAAAAAATGAATTGAACATAAATTATTTTTCAAGAAAATATATTTTTTTAAAAAGTTTTCTTTCGTACCAAAACACCAACATTTTCACAAAAATTTGTCCCTGGCACTTGCCAATCTCCCAACTTTTCATTCCATCTTAGCCGACGTGGGATAAAGACAGCCGTCCAACACATTAGATTCCTAAGCACGTGCCCTTTTTATTGTTTTACATTTCGATTCGTTTCTTTTCTTTTCTTCTTCTATAGCTTTTGCATATGCCAATAATTCTTTTCGTACATGTACTCTTATATTTGGCCTTTATTTTTGGTGTCGAATACTAGAAATTAGAGGATCCACCTAGTACGTGCTGTCGATCTCTAACTACTAATCTCAATTCCTATAATATTAACTAAGTCAGAGATCCAATAATAGATGGATGAGTTGTGCTTGTGCCCTACCCTGTCGTGGAATAATGGCCACCACAATATTTCGATTAGTGAAAATGAAGCATGTTCGCTACAAGTTAGTTTTTTTGGATCTAAAATATTTGATAAATTAATTGAACAATTATTTGGTCTGTTGGTCACCCTTTAGACAATTCGTCATTATAAGAGTCAAGCTGGGATAGCAGTATTGTGACCTTAATCGGTCGGTGAAATGAGAAAAATTATAGAAGAACAGGCATGAAATTTCAATAGGAATAAAAAATAGTACAATAGGTAATTTTTTTTATATGTCTATTAATTGGTGGGCAGATTTATTTAATATTTATATTGATGAAATATAATAAATATTGATAGTAAAAGTATTTCAATATTTGTGCTAGTAAAAGATAAAATGTATCAGTAAAAATAATTGGAGCGCACGCTAGTTAATTCAAACACCGACTTCAGAAAAAAAGGAGTGGAAGTCGGATATGTACTGATAACTAGGCACGTGTTGTGTCATATTATGCCTTTCTACTATAATCATGGCAGGTAAGAGATCATCAAGGGCCTAGTATTCCTCTGCCGATTAGGTTTTATGTACTAGAAAAAAGAAAATCAAATAATGAAGTCCGTGTAGTGAAGCTGGTGAACCAAACCTTATATATTTCTAGTGGATTCAGTTTACTTTTGTTTTTTTCCTGTTTGTTGAATATGGATAGTGGAACAAGGGTATATAAGATCAGGTACATCGTGGTTGGACTTATATTTTCAGCTTTCTTTCTTTTATTCCCTTGATCTATAATTGCTTAGCTTACTCCAATTCACTATTCAACGGATAACACAAATTAATACTAATATATATATATATATATACATACAGCCCATATGAAAATTATTATTTTTTAAGGAGACAGGGTGTTATTATCTAATTTAATTTCAAAATATACTCATATTAAGTATGAAAGTGTACCAAGAGTGAGCTCTTGGATCCTACCTCAGTCCCTACAAACATGACACCTGCCCTTCTATCCTGTAACAGAATGTAGGACTTCTTTGAATAGAAACAACAAACTAAGTGACTTGACTGACATAATTGAAACTACTACTACACTAATAAGGACTCAATTGCAAAAGGTAAGAAAATGAACTAACTTTTTCCTTCTTGAATATTCATTCCCCTTTAGAACATTATCCTCAAGGTTCTTCAAAACCTGAAACTGAGATTTATTGAAGTTGTAATCTTCCCAAGTAACTTTCTCGGGCAATATGTTAGCCCACGGTACCAAAATCTGAGTTGTAGCCTTGTTTCCTTTCTTCACCATTCTCCTATCCAATACAGCCACAGGTTCCATCAAAGGTTGTCATCAGGAGAACATATATGAGGATCAATTGAAGGGATCACTTACTCTTCAATCTTTTTCTTGATCTGGGAAATATAAAATACATGATGTATTCTAGCTGTAGGAGGTAACTTCAGCTTGTAGGCAACTTGTCCAATTTTTTTAATGATCTGATAAGGGCCAAAGAACTTGGAAGCCAGCTTCAAGCTTTTTCTGATTGCTACTTATGCCTGCCTATATGGTTGCAACTTCAAAAATATTAAATACCCAATCCCCTTCTTCAAATTCTCTCTTAGTTCTTTTTTTGTCAGCATATAGTTTTATCCTACTTTGAGCCTTTTTCAGATTCTCTTTCATTACTTTGGCCATCACTTATCGCTCTTTCAGTGTTTCATCAATGACAGTGTTTAACCAAAAATCTGAGTCCTTGGTCAAAGCTAAAAGAAAAATTTGGGTTACTGAAAATCAAGAGACAAAATAAAATACTTTTGAGAACAATGGTAGAGGGTAAATAGATAAGTATTTCAGTGTATTCTCAATAGTATCTCGTGTCCTTACAAATGATGATACTTCTTCCTTTTATAGATCATTCTAGGTAAAGGAATAAAGCATCAATTTTAATGACATAATCATGAGCAATAAATGACATTAAATAAGCCGTTATACAATCATTCCTATTAAATATCAACTTTATAACGTATCAGACATTTAATAATGAATTTGGACTCCTTTCTGTCATCTGTTCCTTGCTTTCAATGACTTCTAATCCGTTGGCTGCAAATAATTTAAATTGGTACGAGACTCGTATCTATACGTCGTCTCGTGCTTATTTAAATTCTTCTTCCCGTGGTTGTTTTCACCGTGCCTCTTAGTCAATTGCTGTTCTTTGACTATTCAACTAATCCACGTGTCATGCCACATCATTTTTAATATAAATTCAGTTTTTTCCCAATACAGATAGTCCCCCCACTTTCCATTTTTTTTTATCAATTAAATAATTGGGAAGCGGATCTTCATGTAAAAAGAACTTTTGCCACAATTAATGCTCATGACAGTACTAACGTCTCAGCAGTCTTTTCCATTTAATGCTCTCTCCNATTTTTTTTATCAATTAAATAATTGGGAAGTGGATCTTCATGTAAAAAGAACTTTTGCCACAATTAATGCTCATGACAGTACTAACGTCTCAGCAGTCTTTTCCATTTAATGCTCTGTCCATGTGTCATTTTATAATTGATTCCGCTATTCATTCCTTTCTTCGAGACTTCTTCATTCTCACTATTTACGAAGTGATAGCTGCCTTTATTATAGGCTTTTCATCATTATACTTAAAAAGTTGACGGTTCCCATTTTACACATAACTTTGTCTTCCTTTGTCTTCTTCACTAATCTTCGACACATACCTTCTTCTTGACAATGTCTTCTTCAAACCCTAACCGTAAAAAAGTTCCAATTCTAGATCAGTTCCCCAACGCCCCTATTAGACACAGAAGAGGCGGAGGAAGTAGGCCTCGAACAAGGTTAGAATCTACGCGAGGTGGTTCCTCTGGTTCTTCTTCAAGGAGTTTTGTTCCAAAGCTCCTTCTTCTAAGAATAGGGAAATTCTTGATACTTCTCAAGAACCCTCAGTTGATGATATAGTTCCCAGTGATTTGTCTTTTGAAAGTGACAAAACGTCTCTTCAAAAACAAATTAAAAATTTAGAAAGAGTCGATACTTACCCAACATTAGTAACCGAGCTTACAATCCCCACTATAAGAAGAGATTGTAATTGGAAGGATAGTCTTCGAATGTCAATTCCTTCCCCAAATCAAAGAATTTCTTCTTTTAGAAATGGGTATTCTTCTGTTTACACTTACCCCTTCACTTTGGGTTTTAATCCTCCGATTGACCCAGTTATTCTCGATTTTTGTCGTTTCTTTACCATTTGTTTGGCCCAAATTGGTCCATTGGTGTGGAGAACAGTGGCTTGTTTGAGATATTTATCATCCAAGGCCAATGTCAATTTCACCTTTTCTCATCTCATTCATCTATACCATCCCAACTTAATACGCCATGGGGTTTTCACCTTAACTGCAAGGAACAAAAAAGTTTTGGTAAACCCTGAGGATGACAGAGATCGTAGATGGTATATCCGTTATGTTGTTGTCTGTACAGTGGATTTGATTGGTGAAACAAATATTCCCTTTCCTGAGAAGTGGAATTTTGAACGTAAGTTTTCTCTTATTTACCGTACCTACTTTTGAGAATTTCAAAAGAATGTTGTTTTTTTAACCTCGTCCCTTCTTGGTTTTTTGTAGCAAACATGGGAGATGTAGAACCTATTCCCAACTTTCGTGGTTGGGTAGACTCACTTTTGAAAATTGCTACTAGGGAGCAAATAACTTGGAAATCAATTTCTTCCTTACATGGCTGGAAAGTCAAAACACACGGTATCCCCTCTTTTACAAAATTTTGTTTTACATGTTAAGCACTTTTTCCTCAACTTTAATCATGTATATCCATTCTTTAATCAGGATTTGGCATTAGAGGAATGACAGCTGAAGTAGCTATGGCCATTCGCATGTCTGCGAATGCTGCTCTGGATTTAGATAAGGCTCGAGCCTTGTTGCCTAAAAGAAAAGCTACAAAGGAAAGTTCTGAAGAAGAAGAGGAGGGTACCTCCCTAATTACCAGGCCAAGGGCCAGGAGACGAATAGTCATTGATGATGAAATTGAAAACACTCCTGCTCGTACCTCCGCCACCGAGCCTGTTTTGATTCAATCTGATGAGGATGCCGAACCAAGAGATAATAATGAATCAATTCAGCACCTTTTTGACAGTGGTTTCG